GTCCAAATGGACACTACTACTGCATCACAGAGTGTGGTGGAGCAATGGAAGAAGCCAAGTGCCCTAATTGTGATGCCAGGATTGGTGGAGCAAACCATACACTTCGGGGAGATAATCGTCTGGCACCGGAAATTGATGGCGCACGATATGCAGCCTGGTCAGACCAGGCCAACATGGCGAACTATCAGTTATACTAAGTAACAGTGTAGGCGTGTGTATGTGTAACGCAGTGCTGTGTAATCTTTTTACTACAAGACGTGTGCTTTACCCATGACCTCACCCAAATGTAGCAGCCTGAACGGTGGATTTCATAATAGTTTTGTTGAAAGACATTTCATTGTATGTATAGTGAGTATCTACCTATGTACATTTCCCACTCGTGTTGTCTTGGTTTTGTAATGAATATTATTATTTTGGATGCACTCTTTCTGAGAAAATATGGACAAATCCAGTTAGTCGAAATGAACTTGTGGCAATCACGCACTGAGCATGTATGTAAGGTGATATGGTGTAGCTATACTTGTATAAAGTCATTAAATAACTGATAAAACAAGTGGAGTTTTAGAAGTAGGTGAGCAGCTACATTCATGTGCTTCTTTACCAGTGCCAATGTCAGGTTCTTGCGCTAGTCACTTAACAAACTAATCCTTGAGTTTTCCGTCATCTGAGCTATATCAGCAGAAGAGGTATGTATAATGTACCATATACTGTAGACACACTACTGTTGTCGGTAATAATGAATGCCACGTCATATATACTAAAAAAGTCTATTCGCGTTCACCTTGCCGGTAGGAAATCTGCCGTAATGTAGCTAAACAACGACCCGATTTCGAAATTTCAAAGCGCAGCGTGACTGTAGTTGAGCGTAGGTTCTATTACGCTTCGCGAGCGCCCACTTACGTACTTAGCTGTATGTCACATAAGCAAAGTACGCGACGTTCCTTTGACCACGAAAATGCAATCGCGTGGGTCCAATGTGGCGCTTATGTGCGCGCGTGCGCGTAGCGCAGCGCGAGCAACAACCCTCTCTCGCCGCCGCTACTGCGGGAGCCCAGACCAAGGAAAAGGCAAGAAGGAGAGGTTTGTTGTTTGAATAAACCGTCTTACTAGAAAAACTCACGGAACCACACGTGGAACGATGAATACGCACGCGCGGCATAGTATTATAGCGTATATACATCCAAAGGAAGCTGACATCCAACCTTCCATCCTGTCGAGCGGCTGGTGTGGACTTCCTCCCTATTGTTGTGGAGACACTAGGAGGTTGGTGCCCTGACGCCATTGCTACCATCCGTTCAATAGGTCGAGCATTGGGTCAGCGGCTGAACTCCACCGATCCGATTGACATGACGAAGCATCTTTTCGGCCGTCTAGCAATAGCCCTATGGCGAGGCAATGCGGGCCTCTGGATGCACCGCCATCCATCCCTCCTCCCTTCCGTCGATGGTCTAGCTTAATTTAATTGTTAATTTTTAGTTTTTCTTTGTTGTCTGTCAACTTTTCCTTGCCGTCTACTAGTCATTTTTCCCTCAGTTTCTTTTGCGTTGTATCCACCGCCCACAAATATCGCGATATTTCAATTATGATGCAACCTTGCGTAAACAGTTTTGTATAGTGCGGCAAGGTGAACGCGAACAGACTTTTAATTTCTCTGTGTCACATGACAGGATGTCATCGTAATTCTGCAAAATGTTGCTGGCGTAACCTGTTTACACTTATCTATGTGTTTGTCGTAATGTTTTCCCTTGAGAGATGTGACGTACTGAAAGTAAATAATAGTGACGTGTTTACTGTGTGTTTAAAAAACAGCAGGAATATCAAACATTCTGTGTATGTACTAACACACACGCACCACATGCATACACACACACACACACGCACATGCATACACACACACACACACGCACGCATACACACACACACACAGTCTCAATCCAGAGAAAGACCCTCTGTGTGCCCTCCTCATCATTGACTACTGTGCAGTGAGAGCGGGAGAGTATCGATTCCTCATCGACCTCTTCCGTGCTTGGGAGGTCAGCCCCAACAACACATTGTCACTCTGATGTTTGTCACTCTTCTACAGTACCTCTGGTGTTGCATTCTACTTCTTTTTCCTCATGTAGCCACACAGGAACCTATCACAGCTACCCAACTTTGCCTTCTCTGTCCCCCTGGCCATGTTCCACAGCCAGAACAGGGAGGAGAAGGAGGGAGAGGGTGGCGGAGAGAAGGAGGCTAATAAGAGACTTCAAGATGCTCTGCTGATGTTCCCCTGTGTGAGTTAAATTATAGTCAGGCACCTTGGCAGAAAACTCCAGTGAACATGTTTCCACCTTAACGAAAGTTGTTGAGGCAAAAGCATAGCAAAGTCAGTATATACAATACACATGGCAGTGATGTACATTTCTCCCCACACAGCTCCTCCCTATCCTGCTAGACAAGTGTGGTGTCACGCTGGACCCTGCTGTCACCAGTCACTCATTCTTCACACAACCCATTGAGAGGTACAAATGGACTTACCCTACTACAGTTACTAGTGGACACTCTCCTAATGAGCATGAATTGTGTGGCCAGTGTGAATTTTCCAGTAGACATGGGAGTATTGGATGATTGTGTCTGACAAATAGGGGGTGTCATGTGGTCATTCCTCACCTAATAAGCTCCCTGCTGATCAGGCTATGTTATGACAGTTAGAGTATACTGTGCCATAGCAAAGTGGTTTGAGATTTGCCTTTGTGTTGTGTTGTGTGTTGTAGATTCTGACCCTACCAGCTGAGTTGCCCTGGTAGCTCAGTTGGTAGAGCGCTCTGCACTCCAGTGTCCTGGGTTCGAATCCCACCCAGAGCAGCTCTTCTTTCGAAAATAAAGAACTGTCCTGGGTGTAGTTAACTTGTTTGCCTTGCCTTTCTACCTCATTACCAAGTTGTTAAGACAAGCACGTATGATACAGTAATGTACAATCGGTATTATTACACTGTGTGTTCTGTAGGGAGCCAAACGGCCTAAAACTACTCATGAAGCTCTATGTTGAGAGGAGCCACTCTCTATGGAAAGAGCCAGAGGTTGTTTTAGCTTAGGTAGGTGCAATGCTGTTTTGTTTATGCACTCCCCTGGTGGGGTTTTCTTTGCTCCTATCTGTTGTTAGTTTCCTGCTCTATCCACATGTTTATCAGGTGCTGACGTGGCTAGAGGCTAACTGTAGAGTGGCAGTGGCCAGGCTAACGACAAAGACCCTCTAAATACAGACTTCAGGGCCAAGTAAGTGTGGAACATCTGCTCTTGTTTTCCCTAATGTTCACTAGACATTACTTTGTTATGTTGGGTAGTTCACATACCTCATTTTATTCCCCACTAACTGTATTCATGTTGATTGCTCCACTACCTGGTAATAATATATTCCCCCACTGTAACTCCCCTGAGTGAATAATGTTAACATGTAATGACACTGGGATTGGTAGAGGAAAGTAGCTGTGCAATGAGTATGGTGTGGTTGTTGTGGAGATGTGTATGTATGTTCTCCCTCCATGCAGAGCAGTCAAGCGCTACAGTAGAGTCCCAAGGAACATCTATCGCCACATTCTCATCTCTGATCTGGACCATGTCGTGTCTGCCCTCCCACCTGTGAGATATGTACATTGTGTGTATAAACTATTAGGAGCAATCCTGTATGTACCTTAAATACATGAATGTCTACCGAATTTCTACGGATTTGCAATCTCCAAAAGTGCCCGGGTTTCAGTTCCAGAGCCTTTCAAAACTGCCAAAGTAGCAAAATTGCCTAATTCTTTAGGGACAACACTGACAACTGAGACTAATTGCTTCGTTCCACTCCTCCTCTGCCCATCCTCTAGGATATGACCCAGACCTCTATAAACTCCTATGACCCTCTACCGCCTCCTGACTCAACTTGTGGCTATGAAAGACCACAGATACAACGGTGAGCACCAAGTATTTTCACAATAACTGCATACAGTGTGTACACATGAGGCAATAGTGAAGTTTTGTGGTACCTGAGATGGCAATGGTGGTATATATATATGTGAAGAGTGATTGTATTGCCTGTGTAGGGGCCCAGGATGTTGCTGAGAATCCACTTATTTTGCTCTTGAGATCTCTTCTCCCCAACTACAACCACATGGTACATACATCTTAGTTTCATAATAGGAAGTGTGTGTAGATTATGACCGAGTACAGTGGAAACTTCAAATTCAAAAATGGACACATGGGACCAGGCGTGTTATATAGGCAGGTTGTCCTCCCTTTGGAGGTATACTAGAAAGGTTTAACGCTAGGGATCTCAAAGTGTGTCCTTTATTTAGAGGTTTTCTATTGTGTCTCGGAGTGTCCTTCATCTGAGGGTCTACTCTATCTTTCTTTTGGCCAAGGCTGAGGGTGGCAGGCAGCAGGGAGGAGGAGGAGGAGGAGTAGGGATTGGTGCCATGATCCACAGACACGTTGACAGAGTGAGGCAGTACTACGAGGACTACTACGCCCAGCACGAGGGAGAGGAGAACGTCCCTCTGCCTCCTCCACCTCCTCCAGCGGACCTGCGGAGAGAGAGAATGAGGGAGCTCCTGGGGGGGGTTGGATGACGTCCACCAAGATCTGATGGCGGCCCTCAGGAACATTGTCGGTGGACTTGCTGCACCCAATGAACACAGTGACAGTAGTAGCTCTGCTGATGAAGCTGCATAATTTTTTGCGAAAACAGGAAGAGCGTTACGCGGATGCATGCGCGTAGGACAATCGCGTTCGCGGCGCGACTATAATACGCCGGCAGCTATAGCTAAGCTCTAGACTGTTGACGGGAGCCTCACAGTATGGATTTGGATGGTGATTCGGACTGGGCCGAGGATACTTCGGACGGTTGGTCGACTTGCGACCGCAGGCGTACCCGGCAAGGTTGCCGTAGCGATTATGGCGCGAGGACTGCAAGTCGAGGGCGGGCGCGCAGCGTCGGAGCGGAGGCGACAAGCGGCCCTGGAGTTCATCGGGGCAATATGCATGCAATAAGGAGCTACAGTAGCGTCGTCGCCAGAGGTCGCGGAGGAAGAGGGGCCGGCGGCCGCGGGAGGCCACCCGACCATCGCATCGGATCACCTTCTGTTGAAGGTGAGCGAATAAGAGGAGGTCGTGGTTGCCGCGCAAGAGGGCGGATTCACGCGGTGTGTTCGCGGTAGGGAAAATCGTGGGGGTGGCCGCCGCGACACACTGCGGCAGAAATGATTCATCGCCGATTACTACTATTTTCATAAAGAAACTCTCCATTATGGAGCCACATATTGTAGCAAAGAAAGTTCATAATCAGCTCAGAGATTTTCAAAGAACAATTGAAGACCCTAAACTATTCGTGGGTGTAAGTCGGAGTAATGGATGCTATAATCCAAATTCTACTGAAGCTTGCAACACTGGCCAGTGAAACCGAAGGAGATGAGCAGCGTTTAGCTAGCATAATAATTGCCGAATATTGAGCGAAGAAGTCAAAAGTTTAATATGGCAGCTAAAGCAGCAGTACAAAGCAAATGTACATTTTTCAAGCAGGCATTTTCTGCAATCTATTTCTATCAATGCTGCTAAGATTTGAATCACTGGCATGGGAATACCTTCCAATTGATGACTTCATGGAACAGTCAGGAGATTAACAAGAGCTGGCACAATTGATCCAGCATTACTGGAAAGGGCCGAGGATTTGTGTGAACTTAGAGATCAGATTCGAGACAAAAAGGCTAACACAGCTGTAGCTGCTGTTTGACGAAGTGATAATACAGGTTATAAGTCTCTTCCAATACTCCCAGAGTGGAAGGAAATCAAGGAAGAAAATGGTACTCCCCCTGAGGTTCGTCCCAATAAAGTGGACGCTCCATACAAGGACTGGATGGAGTACTATGACATACAGTTTCGTCTCGTTCGGGAAGACTTCATTGCACCTCTGCGACGTGGTGTGGCTGCCTTCCTACAGGAGACAAGGGAAAGAATCCAGATGTTAAACCTACAGCGGAGTCCACGATTGTGTCTCAAGTGACAACAAAAGAAAAAGGAATTTGTTTTGACGTGAAATTTGATGTGTCTCGTTTTCGAAACTACGACTGGAGTGTAACGAAAAAGCTTATTTTTGGGTCGCTTTTATGTTTCATTCCTACACACAAAAATCCTGAATCGACTGTTCTATTTGCAACTGTTGCTGAGAGTGATTCTATGAAATTAAAAGAAGGGAGAGTAATGGTTCAATTCGAAAAAGATATCCTTGAGGCAATGACCTATTGTAGAAATAAAGAGTTTGAAATAATCGAATCAAATGTTTATTTTGAAGCAACAAGTCCAATTCTCCGAAGTATCCAGACAGCAAACACAGAAACAATGCCATTCACAAAGCAAATAATTCATGGAGATTGTGGTACAGTTTTGCCACCGGTTTACTTACGTGCCAATGAAGAAGAGTCTCCTATGTATTATAATCTAACCTGCTTATACGGATCAAAAAGACGACCAAAAACGTTAAGGGTGAATGTTTTGGAAAAGGAAAGCTGGGAGGCAGCGAGCGACAGTGAACTAGATTCATCACAGCTGAGTGCTATCCAGACAGCTCTGACTCAAGAGATTGCTGTCATTCAGGGACCACCAGGGACAGGGAAAACCTACATTGGGTTAAAGATAGTTGAAGCTTTGCTAGAGAATAGAAAATTTTGGGATCCCAGTAGGTCAAGTCCAATACTAGTGATGTGCTACACAAATCATGCCCTGGACCAGTTCCTGGAGGGAATCATTGACACTGAATGTTGTGAAAAACCTAATATAATCAGAGTCGGTAGTCGATGTAAGAATGAAAGGGTTGATGCTTTCAACTTAAAAAGGACTCGTAAAGGCCATCGACATAGTGAGTATTCTTCAGATATTGCAAATTTGTTTCGTGAAATGAAGCTTTGCAACCCAGAAAGAGCCTTGGAAAAATTAAACTCACATTATCGTCGCAATAAACTTTTACAACTCAGTTTTATCAGGACAGTTGCTGATCCAGACCATTACTACCAGCTGACGCAAATGGTGAAATGCAAGGAGCAGGTAGGTAACGAAGCAGAGGTTTGGCTGGAACTATGGACAGATAAAGCACCCCATGGATCAAAAGAAGGATGGCAGTACAATGGCACTGCAACAAACCCAAGTCAAAGTCAGACCTTAACCCACAACCGTTACAAGAGTTGATAGACATTGAAGGCGAAGGACTTCGTGCTCAAGATGAAAGAATGGATGAAAATGATGTGGAAGGTTATAAAACACTTAAATTGCTTGAACCGGACGCAGAACCTTCTTCTTTCCCACATGTCAGTGAAGAATATTCTGACGATGAGTCAGACGTAGATGAAGATTCACAAAGAAAGCCCCCGCAGCGCTATCGCAAAAGTGATGCAGATAAAGTTATGCGTAAAAATTTGTTTAAGAAATCCTATGGATGATGAGATGCAGGGAAGTGGAGGATATCGCTGAGCTAAACATCAAAGATCGGTGGAGACTGTATAACTATTGGGGAGAACAGAGATTCAAGTATTTGCAGTCAGAAAATAGAAACCTGGTCAGAGATTACACAGAAAAATGCAAAATGCTAGCAAACTTGAGACAACTTGAGGATGGAGACACTTTGGAAAAAGCGGATGTGATTGGAATGACAACCTCTGGAGCTGCCAAGTACCAGCACATCCTCCACCACATCAAGCCAAAGATTGTGATTGTGGAGGAGGCGGCAGAGGTTCTGGAGGCTCACATTGTCTCTGCTCTCAGTGCTGGCACCCAACACCTCATTCTCATTGGAGACCACAAGCAACTCAGACCCAAACCTAATGAACATGTCCTAGCAACAAAGTACAACCTCTCCATCTCCCTGTTTGAACGTCTGGTGAGGAAACAGATGTCTCAAGCAACACTAGAGATTCAACATCGCATGAGGCCAGAGATTGCTCAACTGGTGTGTCCTCATGTGTATGAGAAGCTCTTGAACCATGAAAGTGTTCAGAAATACCCTGACATACGAGGAATATCAAAGAATATGTTCTTCGTTCATCACAGTGAGCCAGAAAGTGAGCACCCAGGCTTGCTAAGTTATCAAAATGAATTTGAAGCCAACTACATAGTTGGTCTCTGTGCCCACTTACTGAGACTGGGCTACTCTCGAAGTCAAATAACTATCCTCACACCTTATGTCGGACAGCTCTTGATGATAAGAAACAAGATGCCAAAGAGTGAATTCAATGGGGTTCATGTGACAGCAATAGATAACTTTCAGGGAGAAGAAAATGACATCATAGTCTTTTCAATGGTCCGCAGTACCAATCCCAACAGTAACAGAACAACAATTGGTTTTGTGAAAGAAGATAACAGAGTTTGTGTGTCTCTGTCGAGAGCAAAGCATGGATTCTATGCCATTGGAAATTTTGAGTTGATCCGTCACCAGAGCCGACTGTGGGAGTCAATCATCTCTGACGTGGAGAGCAGAGAATGTTATGGCAACTCCCTCCCTCTCTACTGCTGCAATCATCCTGAGACAAAGTATTCAGCCCAGACGGGCTCAGATTTCGAAGCTAGAGCACCAAATGGTGGCTGCCGAAAAATGTGTGACATTCGGCTACCATGTGGGCACTCATGCACTCAGATATGCCATGTTGACGACACAAAGCATGCTAAGTTTAAGTGCAAGAAGGCTTGCAGAAAATCGTGTCCATCCAACCACATGTGCCAGTCTTTGTGTCACATGAAGTGTCTACCGTGTATTGTGAAGGTGGAAAGAGTCATGCCAAGATGTGGTCATATTCAGAGGATGAAATGCTCATATGACCCAAATCGATTAGCATGCTGTCAGATGGTAGTGAAAACAATACCCATATGTGGTCATGAACAGGTGATGGCCTGTTCCGACAATCCTGCTCTTTTTTGCTGCCAGGCCCCATGTTCCAAATCCTGCGAAGAGGGTCATCCGTGCCAAAAGAAGTGTCATGAAGATTGCAATGAAGATTGCCTCGTTGAAGTTGAAAAAGATATCCCCAGTTGCTTGCACAAACAAATGGTTCCCTGCCACATTTCTCCATATCTATTTAACTGCCAGGCTCCATGTTCAAAATCCTGCGAAGAGGGTCATCCATGCCAAAATAAGTGTCATGAAGAGTGCAATGAATGCATCGTTGAAGTTGAAAAAGAGATCCCCAGTTGCCAGCACAAACAAATGGTTCCCTGCCACATTTCTCCAGATCAATTTAACTGCAGAGGCCCTTGTCTTGAATACCACGTGGGATGCCTGCATCCCTGTGAAAGATTGTGCTGGGAACCTTGTGGGGACTGCAAAGTGCCTGTTGTGAAAACTCTACCAGATTGTGGACACTTTCAAACTGTTATGTGCTACAAAGATCCTAACCCAGCTGAATGTATAGAGGAATGCAAGAAGACATGTCCTATCAATTCACATGCCCTAAGAAAAAGGTGCAATGAAGAATGGCCACAATGCATGGAGCTGGTAACCAAAGCAGTCCCCAAATGTGGACATAAAATTGTGGCAAAGTGTTATCAAGACCCCTCTAGAATCCCCTGTTATAATCCTTGTACACGCTCATGTGATTACAAGGGCCACAAATGTCCAAAACGGTGCCACGAGAAATGTGCTCCATGCCTCACAGAAGTAAAGGAGTCCCTACAATGTGGGCATACCCACACCATGCCCTGTTTCCAGGCATCGACCAATAGGTTCATCTGCCGAACAATATGTTCAAAGCCCACGTGTAAAGAGGGACACATGTGCTCAAAACAGTGCCATCATCCCAAATCATGTGGACCTTGCAGTGAGATTGTGTGCGTCACATTGCCATGCTCACATGAACAGAGGGTGAAATGCTTTAAGAGTGTCGACACTAAAAAGTTACCTTGTGAGCACCCCTGTGAAAAGAAACTAAAATGCGGTCATAAATGCCACAAAAAGTGTTGGCAAAAGTGTCAGAAAGTGTGCTACGAGAAAGTGTACGCTGGACTGCCTTGTGGTCATCACAAACTGATTGAATGTTGCAAAAACACTCAGGAATTTAAAGCTACCATTAAATGTGACAAAGAAATATCTTTAAAATTAGCATGTGGACACAATATCAAAGCAAAGTGCTGGAAACAAAAAGATAAAATATCTTTGAAAAAACTGTGCAAAGAGAAGTGCACTAAAAACCTAAAATGTGGTCATCCTTGCAAGGGACCTTGCAATGAGCCTTGCACAAAATATTGTAAGAAGCGTGTCAACAAAAAATTACCATGTGGACACGAAGTACAAATCAAGTGCTTTGAATCCTGTGGCATGAACGACTGTCAGGAAAGATGCCTCAAGAAATTACAATGTGGTCATCAATGCTGGAACAAATGTGGAGAGCCTTGCTCAACTTGCAACCAGAAATCAGTTCGTCCTTATCCGTGTGGACACTCCTCAAAGATACCATGTTACTCAAGTATAGAGGATCATCCATGCAAGAAGAGGTGTGGAGTTGTTCTCAGTTGTGGCCACCGTTGCTCGGGAAAATGTAGAGACTGCTCGTTATTCCAGATGCACCCCATTTGCATGTTTGAAGTCAAGCTGCATCGTTACTGTGGTCATTCTGCAATCCTGCCCTGCTCTGGTCTGTCTGATTCGTGTGATCACAAAACGCATACAGTTCCATGTACACACACGGAAGACTACGGCAACTGCCACAAACCTTGCACCTGGAAGTGCAAGCACTTTGAGTGTGGTAAGGAATGTAGAGAGGAATGCGACCGACCTCCATGTGATCAACCTTGTGACAAGCAATTGTCTTGTGGTCACAGGTGTCCTGGACTCTGTGGAGAGTGGTGCCTGAGTGTATGCTCCCACTGCGACCTTGTCAACTTCACAAAAAAGTTTCACCCTAAACCGAAACAGGGAAAACTGCCAAAACATGAGCCTTTCTTTGAGCTAAACTGTGGGCACATTTTCACTGTGAAGTACCTGGATGACTTCATGAAGTCAAATGCTGAAATTGTGAGGCCGAAGCAATGCCCAAAATGTCACCAAAATATCGATGTTGGAAATCGCTATGGAAATGATGTGAGGAGGGCCATGGGCGCCGTAAACGACATTAAAGTGTTGATGGCAGAGCTTCAAACAGTGTCGGGACCCGAGAGGATTGAGTTAAGGCATACATGTCGGTCACTGGCAAATCACGATCCTCATTTTGGCAGTAATGGCCTTAGGGCAATTCATGAAAAGCTCAGAAATGATTCTCCTGTGAGTCCTGAAGAGAGATGTTTTGTTCAGTGTGCAGATTCATACTGCACTGTCTATGGCAGCTTAAAAAGGAGTAAGATGTTCTCCTCGGGAAGAATGATATTGAACCAAATGATGGAGAACGCAGAGAAATGTGTAGTGCCAAAACATGAATTTGATCGTCAGCGGCCTGAAACTCCGTCTCAGATCCATCTTTCATGGCAGCTACTTGAAGACTACATGAGCCAACTGTACCATTTGGCACTGTCCGCTCAGTGTAGTACTGCAAGAAGCCACCTACCGTTTTCTGGTAGAAACAGAGAAAGCTCTGAATGCGCCGTAGCAACTGTTGAGCAGGATATTAAATCTCTGGATCCAATGAAAGACAGAATATCTGAAGCAAAGTATGAAGAATACTATAGTCGAATATCTTCAGCTGTTCCTGATGCAGTTAAGGTTCATGTGAGGACACCACGAATGCCAAAAGTTGTCAAGGGGACATGGATGAAGTGCCCAGCTGGACATTACTACTGTGTACCTCCAGTCTGTGGAGCTGTAGCCAAGACTGATGACTGCTGTCCTGAATGCCATACATCAAGACATGCACAGTGAAAGACGTTGTGTTTATTGTGCCATTATACATTGTTGTAGCATGTACCAAGTTTATACGGTCTATTTTCATACAGTGTTACACTTCGGTGCAGACTAATGAAGATACTAGAATGTCAGTAGACACTCTATATAGAGATGGCACAGGTGAAATCTCACACGATCCGCTTATATTATACAAATGCCACAAAGATCATCAACAAGACCAATTTCTGCTGCTAAAAAAGATTTCCAAATAACAGTTCGTACACACAAGATCGATGACCCGTTGAGTCTGATGTTGTCCTTGTCTCCGAGAACTTCATCCAGGACTTGGTGACTTTGAATGCGTTCATGGTGGTGGCAGCGAGGGTTACTGTAGTTGGGTTTGTCTGTCTGTTACTCTCAATCTCACTTCTCGAGTGTTTGTTCGTCTCACAAAGGATACGATCTACTCAACGGGCAATGAAGGTCAGATATTTCGAACGGTTTTCTCTGAAAGTGCTCCGTTGCAAAGCTAGAGCGCTTCCAGCATTGTATGGCAAATGCCTGTAGTCGCCATTTTATCGCTGGCGGCCTAATGCGCATGCGCTTATATTTAGCACAGTACCGGGTCCGCTTGCTCTGTCTATCTTGAAGGCACAAGAAGTCACAACGAGTGTCGTGTATCGACTATCGCGTGCTATCTACAACTGTAGCTAGCCCGCGTCAGACTCTCTGCGAGCTACTTCGCCGAGGGTTTGCACTTTAGTGCTTTTCATTGGGTTTGTCTGTGTGTGTGTCCGTCTGTTACTCTCAATCTCACTTCTCGAATGTCTGTTCGTCTCACAAACGATACGATCTACTTAACGGGCAATGAAGGTCAGAATTTTCGAACGGTTTTCTCTGAAAATGCTTCGTTGCAAAGCTAGAGCGCTTCCGGCATTGTACGGCTAAATGCCGGTAGTCGCCATTTTATCGCTGGCGGATAATGCTTATATTTAGCACAGGCTTACCTCGACCGGGTCCGCTTGCTCTGTCTATCTTGAAGGCACAAGAAGTCACAACGAATGGCGTGTATCGACTCCCGCATGCTATTTACTACTGTAGCTAGCCCGTATCAGACTCTCTGCGAGCTACTTCGCCGAGGGTTTGCACTTTAGTGCTTTTCATTATGCCTTTACTCGTGGCATCCCGCTAGTAGCTCGCGGAGAGTCTGGTACGGGCTAGCTACAGTAGTAAATAGCATGCGGGAGTCGATACATGCCCTTCGTTGTGACTTGAAGGCAGACACACAGAGCGAACGGACGCGGTCGAGGTAAGCCTGTGCTAATTTACATATTGGCTTGTTCACTTGGTTTTCACGCCATAACTTAAGAACACAGTAGTTTTACGAAAATCGCCTTTTTTAAAATCAACCCAGTGTAGCACTGAACCCGATCATATCGCTATTTACCTACACTTACGGGACAACTACCGTAACCCTCGCTGCGCATGCGCGCCGAGGGTTAATGATAGAGACACATGCACACTATACTAGCACCAAATCTGCTTCTTCGCCAAAGCAGAAGAAAGGGGGCGGGGCTGGTAGCGTCCTTCCTGCACAATAATTAGCTAGCTTTACTCGCCGACGAAATCGCCCATGGCGAAGGCCAGCTCCACGTAACGTCACCCTCCCGCCCACCACAGAGAAGTTGTCGACGCTAGGCCGTGTCCTCTACCTCGGCCTCCTTGAGCGGCCGGTCCCCGCGACTCAGAAACTCCTCCCAGTTTTCGAAGCGGGAGCGTCGCGTCTCCGCTGCCTCTGAATAGGACGGGACACCATGGGGTTCCGAGAAGGCTCCGGTCGGGTTCATCCGGCCTTCGGGGCATTGCACGTTTGTACGCATGCGCACTGTTGTTTTATCAGGGTTTCGAGGGCGTGTCTGAACTGCTAGTTTGGTACATGCAGTGTGTGGCTGTGTTCACTGCGGACTGGCTTATTACCTAGCACTGATGTTTCTTTTAGTGAAAGATGGCGGCCTCCAGTAACCTGACCAATAAGCTATCGACACTGATGGTGTACGATGCTACTCACAGACTGACTGTGGGAGAGACGAGGCAGCTAGTGTTCCAAATGGGTGTGCCGGTCAAAGACGTTGATAACATCAGGGAACAGAACAGTGGCAATATGCAACGCGTCTACCTTGTGGAAAAGTGGCTTGATATGACCCCCGATGCCAGCTGGGACAAACTAGTTGCTGGACTGAGGAAGATTAACAAGAACACTTTGGCTGCTGACATTGAGTCTCGACATCCTCCAAACGCTACTGTTGATTCTGTCGGTCCCCTCGCTCCAGTGACTACAACCCCAGCTCCTGTCGGTCCCCTCGCTCCAGTGACTGCAACCCCATCTCCCATCGGTCCCCTCGCTCCGGTGACCGCAACCCCAGCTCCCGTCGACCCCCTCGCTCCAGTGATTGCAACCCCATCTCCCATCGGTCCCCTCGCTCCAGTGACCGCAACCCCAAGTCCGGTCGGCCCCCTCGCTCCAGTGACTGCAACCCCATCTCCCATCGGTCCCCTTGCTCCGGTGACCGCAACCCCAGCTCCCGTCGGCCCCCTCGCTCCAGTGACCGCAACCCCAGCTCCCGTCGGCCCAACCCCAGCTCTTGTCAGTTCCCTCGCTCCAGTGACTGCAACCCCAGGTCCCGTCGACTCCCTCGCTCCAGTGACTGCAACCCCAGCTCTTGTCAGTTCCCTCGCTCCAGTGACTGCGACCCCAGATCTTGTCAGTTCCCTCGCTCCAGTGACTGCAACCCCAACTCCCGTCGGCCACCTCGCTCCAGTGACTGCAGCCCCAGCTCCCGTCGGTCTCCTCACTCCAGTGACTGCAACCCCAGGTCCGGTCGGCACCCTCGCTCCAGTGACTGCAACCCCAGGTCCGGTCGGCCCCCTCGCTCCAGTGACTGCAACCCCAGGTCCGGTCGGCCCCCTCGCTCCAGTGACTGCAACCCCAGGTCCGGTCGGCCCCCTCGCTCCAGTGACTGCAACCCCAGGTCCGGTCGCCCCCCTCGCTCCAGTGACTGCACCCCCAGCTCCCGTCGGTCCCCTCGCTCCAGTGACTGCAACCCCAGCTCCCGTCGGTCCCCTCGCTCCAGTGACTGCAACCCCAGGTCCGGTCGGCCCCCTCGCTCCAGTGACTGCAACCCCAGGTCCGGTCGGCCACCTCGCTCCAGTGACTGCAACCCCAGGTCCGGTCGGCCACCTCGCTCCAGTGACTGCAACCCCAGGTCCGGTCGGCCCCCTCGCTCCAGTGACTGCAGCCCCAGCTCCCGTCGGTCCCCTCGCTCCAGTGACTGCAACCCCAGGTCCGGTCGGCCCCCTCGCTCCAGTGACTGCAACCCCAGGTCCAGTCGGCCCCCTCGCTCCAGTGACTGCAACCCCAGCTCCCGTCGGTCCCCTCGCTCCAGTGACTGCAACCCCAGGTCCGGTCGGCCCCCTCGCTCCAGTGACTGCAACCCCAGGTCCGGTCGGCCCCCTCGCTCCAGTGACTGCAACCCCAGGTCCGGTCGGCCCCCTCGCTCCAGTGGCTGCAACCCCAGCTCCCGTCGGTCCCCTCGCTCCGGTGACCGTAACCTCAGCTCCAATCGGTCCCATTTCTCCCCCTGATAACACTGAGGAGACATTTGAACAGAGAGTAGCAGGGGCTAAAGAATGCGTGGAGCGCCTACAGGAAGAATTTTTCGACCTGAAATCCGATACTCGAGAGTCTCTCTCAGAGAAGGAACGTCGAGATCCAAAATTTATTCTAAAGTTTCAAGATTATCTCCTGGAAATGCCAGTAGCTAAAAGGCAAGTTCACATTCGGTTCTTCAGTAAAAATACAGAGGAAATCCTGGACGCAAAAACTATACGAAGGCTGTTTGTTGTTCTCGGGCGCTATTGCAACTACTCCAACTACGAGATTATCTTCCATGTCGTCAAAAGGTTCTGTCAAGAACTAAAGGAAAGAATGCTGACATATCGTGACTGTCTCATCAGTTTTGAAAAGTCCACGACAGTCGATGTCTACCTTTGTGTCATTCCCGCTAGTCCTGGTGGTGAAATAATGAAAGGATTCATCCGCATGACCATGAAGATCAACAAGCCACCCTCTGAGTGTTCGTTGCATGAAATCCGAAAGTTTAAGGAGTCCATTGAGGAAAAGGCAGCTCTGGAGTTCTATGCCATGTACATGGAGACCCCAGGGGAAGGCTCTGTACGCGTGAGCCTGCGTATTCACGAGGAGGTGGGTTGGATTGTGGGTGTGGTCTTTACTGCCGAGTTCAGACAGGAACATCTCCTGACGGAAGTGACTGTTGTGCATAGTGAGTGGTGGAGAGAGGCTCAAGATATCATAATATACCTGGTAAGAAACCTAGTTGCATCTTAGACCAATGACTGTCAGTCGCGTGTCCAGGGGGGTGGCTTAGGGTGCTCGAGCACCCCCCTACCTGAATTTCTGAACAGGCCACTGACTGTGTTTTGCTTGGCTGGCACTCTCGAATAAAAAGCCACTATGTCCACCCAACAAAGTGCCCCCTCGAAACAATTAATTGTACCCATTCGTCAATATCGAATTAGCCACAGGCATTCAGCTCTTGCTCTTAGCTTCGTCATTGGATAGTTTTGTGGGCAATGCTTTATCCCATACTGCCCTTGTAACTTACATTATACAAATCTGGTTGATGCACATAACAATGTCAGTACTCCTTTCACCCTGAGCCCTGGAGAAAGAGTTATAACTAGTAAAGAAACGTGAAAACAATTCGAAAACCTCACGTTTCCCATTCTGATGTGTCCTTCAATAAATGTCTAACAAAAAGGTTGTTGTACGTATGTCCCATTAACTATAAGTAAGTATGTAGTACTTATGTATTCTATAAACAGTTTACACAATGAGTTCCGGGGCTCAGGTGAATGCAAATAGATTACTGCTGTCTCATTCGCTTGCGTTTGCTTCATGTGTGAGGGACACCAGTCACACGTATGCTGCTGTAACTCGTGCTGTGCCTGCACACTGCTGAGGCACTTCTCGCATGCAATTGCACACTAGTACAGTGAGTAGAGTCCAAGTCAAAGATAATACTGTTGCTCCTGTGTTCAATCCGTCCCTGGGTACACTAGAATGATGAGCTGAGGTCTGCTTCTATAAAAGGGGATGTGGAGGCAGTGACTTCACTACACACAGCTGGAGCTGATGTAAATACCAGGGACTTGGTAAGTACACCTTACCATCAGTATCACATACACAGCTAGTGAGTGGTGTGTGATAACCCCAAAACCGTCATTGTCTCACTACAACATGTCACACAGAATGAAGACTCTGCACTGATGTTGGCTGCCAGCAATGGTAGGACTGAAGTTGTTTCACTGCTTCTAGAGGCTGGAGCTAACATTCACCAACAGAATAAGGTAATGAAGATGCATGTTTTTGAACCAGCTACTTGAAGTTTTGTATCAGTAACCCCGATAACTAGTGTGTGATGTCTCACTATGCATGTCTGTCATCACATAGAATGGAGACTCTGCACTGATATTGGCCGTCAAGTTGGACAGGACTGAAGTTGTTTCACTGCTACTAGAGGCTGGAGCTAACACTGACCTACAGAATAAGGTAAAATGCCAGTGTATCACTAAGTATGGTAGTCCACTTAGTATAGGGATGGGCATGGTACACCTACATAGCATCACTATGTAGGGATGGCACGGGTCAAATCTCACGTGATCTCACCATCCCTATATCTTTGTTCTTCCCTATTAATCAGTCAGACAAAGATATAGGGATGGTGCCATGTTGTGTGTCTTTGCTGTGTAATGACCACTTGTATTTCCTTTTTGGTGCTTTGGGCCATCCCTATATCCCCTTCATTTTGAAGATTTTCCAATTTGTTCTGTGTGACATGTTGTTGTTATACACATTCATGGTTGTGTGCATGCATTGCCTTTGTGTTTTAGTCTCATTGCGGCACTGCCCTAGCTACGAGTGAATCTCTAGCCTCGATCTCAGGCCTTCTCGTATATAATTTGCGAGGGAGGAGGGAGAAGGCCTGGGATTGAGGCTACTAATCTCTGCCCATGTGCCTCCACACCTGCCATGCACCAACTAAAGTGCAAACCCTTAGCCTTGTTCCCAGTCCGCTTTTTGCGGGGGAGGGAAAACAGCCTTGTACCAATCTGTAACCGTCCATCCCCAGTCTATATCACTAAGTATTATACCAATAGAGTATACCTAGAAATACACCCAATGAATACTTATTTCAGGCAGTCATCAGCGGGTGCAGTGGTGGTGGTAGGCAGCGCCGATATGGAAGTCCCCGCGAGAGGCCTCCACAGCAAGGGGCCAGTTCTCATCAGAGTGAGTCTGGAGATGCTCGCACTCATAGTGGCGTAAGGTACCTTAGAGATAGCATGTTTCCCCATCACGGTTCCACACCCCAGCCGTACGGAGCGGGAAGACGAGGGCCTCGAGGAAATTCGCCCGGGAATATGTCCCGCGAATGGGGTGCCGGTGATCGCAGGCAGGTGAGAAGGGGGCATCAAAGATGGTCACCATATACATATTGCCAGCATTTTCCGATTTCTATTAGCGAATTAGCTAATCTTGAGCCAAGGTTGTTAGTAAACAGGTTAAATAGCCAGCTCAAGGAATTTCAGCAAAAAATTGGAGATGCCAATACTCTAATGGCTGATGTGGTTACAGTTCTTTTGAAACTTGTTGAATTGACTAGCAAAAGCAACAGTGAAGAACAAGGTGATGCTAGCAAAATAGTTGCAGAAATTTTAAGTGAGCGTAGTGAAAAGTTTCATTTTCAACTTAAGAGAGCTGTACAAAGCCCTAAGTGCACGCTGGCTCAAGCTGAAAATTTTTGTAGTCTGTTTGAGTCTCTGCTGCAAACATTTCAGTCTCTATCAAAAGATTGCCTTCCAATGGATGAACTTCTTGAAACAGTCAAGAGATTAACAAGAGTTGTCGGTACCATTAATTCTGAATTGCTGGAAAGAGCTGAGAATTTATGCGAAACAAGAGATCAAATTCTAGACACACAGATTAACCCATATACCATGACTGTTGATGAAAGGGATGATACAGGTTATAAGTCTCTTCCAATACTCCCAGAGTGGAGGGAAATCAAGGAAGACAATGGTACTCCCACTGAGGTTCGTCCCAATAAAGTGGACGCTCCATACAAGGACTGGATGGAGTATTATGACATACAGTTTCGTCTCGTTCGGGAAGACTTCATTGCACCTCTGCGACGTGGTGTGGCTGCCTTCCTACAGGGAGTGAAGAATCGTGATGTTAAAATTTACAATAGAGCAAAGATTGTCTCGCAAGTAACTACAATAGAAAAGGGAATTTGCTTTGTTGTCAAATTTGATGCTTCTGGCTTTTGCAAAGCTAAATACAATTGGAAGCAATCAAAGAGGTTGATATTTGGTTCGCTTTTGTGTTTTATTTCTAGAATGAACATGTTTGAAATAAGTGCCATGTTTGCCACTGTTGCAAAACGAGATATATATGAATTAGAGAAAGGAAATATCATGGTTCATTTTGAAGGCAATATACTCTCCGAAGCAGTGAATCACTGTGCAATGGGTACAGAGTTTGATATTATTGAATCGAATTCCTATTTTGAAGCAACTAGCCCAATACTTAAAAGTCTACAAGAAGCTGAAGTTGCAACAATGCCATTCACAAAACAATTAATTGAAGGAAAGTATGAGTCGGTTTTACCACCAGCTTACCTTAGAGAAACAACTCAAGTTCCCATATACAACTTGTCTTGCCTGCATGGGCCAGTGGGGAAGAGAAAAAACAAGCCTCTAATGATAGAGGTTCTAAATAAAGAAAGCTGGAAGGCAACGAGTAATAGTAAACTTGACTCGTCACAGCTGAATGCAATCCAGACAGCTCTGACTCAAGAGATTTCTGTCATTCAAGGACCACCAGGGACAGGGAAAACCTACATTGGATTGAAGATAGTTGAAGCCTTGCTCGACAATAGACACATTTGGGATCCTCTCAAGTCAAGTCCAATACTAGTGATGTGCTACACAAATCATGCCCTGGACCAGTTCCTGGAGGGAATCATTGACACTGAATGCTGTGGAAGAAAACCGAAAGTTATAAGAGTCGGTGGTAGATGCAAGAATGAGAAAGTGAACCGCTACAATCTGAGAAAAGTACGTGAAAAGTTATCAAAACAGCATTATTTAGAAAAAGAAAAGTTGCAATGTAACCCAAATGAAGTTTGGCAATATTTAAAGGATTATTTCAAACGTGACACACTCTTGCCATTGTACGTCTTGCAGAAAGTAGTTCATCCATACCACTACTATCAGCTGACACAGATGGCACAATGTGCAGAGCAACAACATAAGGAAGTTGAAGTCTGGCTGGATTTATGGCATTTAACCTCTACCAATGTGCGTCACTTTCCTAATGAGGACAAGGATTTAATTGTGGTGGACAAAGTTGGTCAGTTTAATGATGAAGTAGTCCAAGGTAGTGTAAAAGACTTGCCTGAACAGGAAGATGATACTTTCCTCATAGACTATGACAGACAGTATGAAGGTGATGATGAAGGATATAAGAGTGCTATATTGCAGAAATATTTCACAGAAAAGATGAAGAGCCAATACGTTCATCCTTATGTTGAAGATGTATCAACATCTGAGTCAGACAATGACAGACCAAAAGTTGAATTTGAGGGAGAGAAATGGGTTCGTAAAGTAAATGCCAACAAATGGATAAAACAAAATTTACACAAAAACTCCATGGATGACGAAGAAGTTGAAGAGCTATCATATATTTCTATTGGTAAATTAAGTATTGAGGATCGATGGCGATTGTATAATTACTGGGAAGAACAGTGGTATAAGTTCTTGCAAGAAGAAAATGGAAAGATGGCTCAGGAGTACAATGAAAAGTGCAGCGAAATAAATGAATTGAGGCAACGTGGAGACCAGCACACACTAGAGTCTGCAGATGTGGTTGGAATGACCACCACAGGAGCTGCCAAGTACCAGCACATCCTCCACCACATCAAACCAAAGATTGTGATTGTGGAGGAGGCAGCAGAGGTTCTGGAGGCTCACATTGTCTCTGCTCTCAGTGCTGGCACCCAACACCTCATTCTCATTGGAGACCACAAGCAACTCAGACCCAAACCTAATGAACATGTCCTAGCAACAGAGTACAACCTCTCCATCTCCCTGTTTGAACGTCTGGTGAGGAAACAGATGTCTAAAGCAACACTAGAGATTCAACATCGCATGAGACCAGAGATTGCTCAACTGGTGTGTCCTCATGTGTATGAGAAGCTCTTGAACCATGAAAGTGTTCAGAAATACCCTGACATACGAGGAATATCAAAGAATATGTTCTTCGTTCATCACAGTGAGCCAGAAAGTGAGCACCCAGGCTTGCTAAGTTATCAAAACGACTTTGAAGCCAACTACATTGTTGGTCTCTGTGCCCACCTACTGAGACTGGGCTACTCTCCAAGTCAAATAACTATCCTCACACCTTATGTTGGACAGCTTCTGCTGTTAAGAAACAAGATGCCAAAGAGTGAATTCAATGGAGTTCATGTGACAGCAATAGATAACTTTCAGGGAGAAGAAAATGACATCATACTGTTTTCAATGGTCCGCAGTACCAATCCTAACAGCAGAAGAACAACAATTGGTTTTATGAAAGAAGACAACAGAGTTTGTGTGTCTCTGTCGAGAGCAAAGCATGGATTCTATGCCATTGGAAATTTTGAGTTGATCCGTCACCAGAGCCTGCTGTGGGAGTCAATCATCTCTGACGTGGAGAGGAGAGAATGTTATGGCAACTCCCTCCCTCTCTACTGCTGCAATCATCCTGAGACAAAATACTCAGCCCAGACAGGCTCAGATTTCGAAGCTAGAGCACCAAATGGTGGCTGCCTAAAAATGTGTGACATTCGGCTACCATGTGGGCACTCATGCACTCAGATATGCCATGTTGACGACACAAAGCATGCAATGTATAGGTGCAAAAAGCCGTGTGAACGGAAATGTACTGAAGATCACAAATGTCAACCACAACATAATTGTTGTGACACCTGCCCACCATGTAGAGTTAAGGTAGAAATAACCAAGTCTGAATGTGGCCATAGGCAATTGATTGAATGCAGCTTGAAAAGTAATCCATGGTCAGTGAAATGCAATGCTCCATGCTCAAAAAAGTGTCTCAATGGGCATTTGTGTCCAAAGAAATGCTCAGAATATTGTGGATCCTGTCGTGTGGAAGTAGAAAAGGTTATTCCCGACTGTAACCACAAACAGATGATTCCCTGTTACCTGCAGCCTCATTTAGCTAAATGCAGGCATGAGCAAGTAAAGTTGTGTCCAAATGGACTGCACCAACTTAAAAAGTTTTGCTCTGATAAATCATGGCCTCAATGCAAGGAGAAAGTTACCGAAAAGCTTTCTGATTGTGGCCATACAGTTGAAGCTCAGTGTTTTGAAGACCTGTCATCTATTCTATGTGATAAGCCTTGTGAAAGGCCATGTGAAGCTGGCCACAAGTGCCTTAAACTCTGCCATGAGAAATGTGCACCCTGCCCATCAGAAGTAAAGATTACTTCACCTTGTGGACATACACATGTAATGAAATGTGCACAAGTCAGCGAAAATGTCAAATGCCAAACCAAATGCTTAAAAGTAAACTGTGAAAGAGGTCATTTATGCCAAGAAGAATGCCATTATCCTCAACCTTGTAAACCTTGCAGGGCAACTGTGACCATTCAATTTCCCACATGTTCGCATCGGCAAAATTTAGAATGCTACAAGAGCCTTAACCCAAGCAAGTATGGTTACACTTGTAAGAGTGATTGTGAAAAGAGACTTCAATGTTCCCATAAGTGCAATAAACAATGTGGACAAGTCTGTCAACAAGTATGTGCTGAGAGTGTCAAAATTAATTTAGAATGTGGCCATGAGACGAAAGTTGAATGTCACCGAAAGTGTAACAGAGACCTACTTGTTTTGAACTGCAAGAAGCGAATAAAACTTAAGCTTTCATGTGGGCATACTCTTCGAACTGATTGCTGGAAACAAGGATATAAACTTTCGTTGAGGAGCGATTGCAAGAGGAGCTGCAGAAGATTCCTTAAATGTGGTCATCCTTGTCAGGAGAAATGTGGCAGCCCATGCACAGTGAGCTGCAAATTCCCTGTTAAAAGAACTCAGCCATGTGGACATGAAATTATTATTGAATGCTCCCAAGCAGAGACTATGAACCAGTATCTATGCAATGAAAGATGCTGGAAGAAATTGGCATGTGGTCATCCTTGTCAGGAGAACTGTGGCAGCCCATGCACAGTGAGCTGCAAATTTCCTGTTACAAGAACTCAGCCATGTGGGCATGAAATCATTATCGAATGCTTCCAAGCAGAGACTATGAACCAGCATCTATGCAAAGAAAAATGCGGGAAGAAATTGACATGCGGTCATCCTTGCCAAAACACCTGTGGAAAGCCTTGTTCAACGTGTCATCTTCAGTCAATGTGCCACTATCCATGTGGACATTCGTCCAAAATACCTTGCAACTCAACCATTGAGGCACATCCATGCAAAAAGAAATGTGAAATTGTTCTCAGTTGTGGCCACCGCTGCTCTGGAAAATGTGGGGATTGCTACTCATCAAGGATGCATGCTGTCTGCATCTTTGAAATCAAATTACATCATTATTCTGGTAAATTAGTAACTTTCCCCTGTGCTGGCCTCTTTGATTCTGGTGATCACAAAACACCTCAAATTCCATGTGCACATTCAGGTGACCACAGCAATTGCCATGAACGGTGTAGCTGGGACTGTAAGCACTTTAAGTGTGGCCGGGAATGTACAGAGGAATGTGACAGACCTCAATGCAATGAAATTTGTGACAAGGAACTGCGTTGTGGTCACAGGTGTCCTGGACTCTGCGGAGAGAGATGCATGAGTGTGTGCCCACAGTGTGAAAAAAGGAAATTTATTCGGCAGTTGCACCCCACAGCGAGGCTCGGTCACATACCAGCTAATCAGCCTTTCTTTGAACTTGATTGTGGGCATATATTCACAGTTGGGTACCTAGATGAATGCATGGAACACTCAAATGGGACAGTCCAGCCAATGCAATGCCCTAAATGTAAAGAGAATATAACCATAGGATCTCGTTATGGGAATAGAGTAAGAAATGCCGCAAAAGATGTGATGGCCGTTGTGGACATAATAAAAGAGCAAGAGAGTGCACTTGATCATGTGACTCTGACTGTTACAGATGATCTCATTGAGAACTCTCCATATCTTGGCCTCATTGAGAAAATATTACGCCCACCAAAAAGTAGTGAAAGAAGTTGCTTGATTGAATTTTTCAACTCGTCTATGAATATACATCTCGCCTTGCAGCAATATGCAACTAAATACCCAAGCATCTCTACTGTAAATAAGAATATCATAGATTTGGTAGGCACTCTAATAGACGGTGCAGTAAAAGAACCACAAGTAGCAAGGAATGCATTATTTCAAGCTCATAAGGAAGTTAGACTGGGTTTAACTTCTCAGTTACTGAATGATTTCAAAAGTGAACTCTATCGGTTGGCTTTGTATGCACAGTGTTTGCTTGTCAGAAGCCAATATCCACCAATCGAAGGTACAAAGAGAAAAAGATTAACTTCTGAACCCCAAGATGCTATAGACCAAGTAGAACAATACATAAACTCTCTCAATCCACTGACACAGAGAGTATCTGAAGATGAGTATGAAAATTACTTCAGTAAAATTGAAGTTGCTCCCGGTGTAGCAAATCTCCATGTGAGCGCCACCACTACAGTACCAGCTGCAACAAAAGGAGTATGGATGACATGCTCTACTGGACACTATTTCTGTGTACCCCATGTCTGTGGACCTGTTTCTAAGACACCTGTATGTCCAGATTGCAAGTAGATGTGTGTTCTAGTGAGTATATTATGTCTTATGATTGTACTAAGAAATTGTGAATCTAATTATTAGCATGCCATTTGGTCGCATTCCCTAGTTCTTGCTCACTTGGATCCATGTGACTCTGAATACTAGCTAGCATGCTCCACCTGGAAGCATTACTAGCATGCTCCACCTGGAAGCAATGACTACCTAGACGCATTCCATTGGTGATTCTGAATACAAGCATGCCAATCTATTGAGCATTCAACACCAACTTTTGTAACCCTGAATACTAGCATTAGACATTCTGTGTGACTCTGAATGCTCTAGCATGCCCACTTTGAAGCATTCGTATCCAATTCCTTGTGACTTTTTGTAACGGAGTACTAGCATTAGACATTCTGCGTGACTCTAATACTATATAGCTTTTCTCAGTGACTCTGAATACTAGCGTGCCTGCTTGGAGGTGTTCAATACCAAAATTATTATGACTCTGAATACTACATTGAAGCATTCCAAACCCAATTCCTCGTGACTCTGAATACTAGCATGCCCACCTGGTAGACCGAACTTAGTAGTGTCATAGCATCCTTGAATCAGAATTCATGTCTTATTTTATGAGCTGCTAAAGTTAATTTGTGACTTGTCAAAGGTTGATAGTGTGCCTTGCACTTTTAGCACAGGAATTGCAACTTGAAATTCCACTGTTTATTCCTAATGTGGCCCAATCAGAGCGTCGGTAGACGCTCTATAATTATAGGGATGGCATGGGTGATATCTCACGTGATCTGCATACAAAACGCCTCCACACTCGATGAGAACAGCTAACTTGGCCTTCTAAACACACCAGCAACAACTCTTGGGCCGACCTCTAGCTGTACATAAGTCATTCATAACCCCATCCCTGCATCTTTGTTTCTTTCAAGATCCGCAGTTCATGTACACACCAGGTTTTTCTTTTCGTTGCCTAAGCATTCATGACTAGCAAACATTTCTGAGGATAATAAAGATGTAGGGATGGGGTTATGAAAGACTAGCTATCTGTCTTGGTGTAGGCATCTTCTTGTTCCCTTCCTTTTTAATGACTTAACGCTGTTATTTCACTATTGAGTCATGGCCATGTAAAATGAAACATGGATGACGTGCCCAGCTGGACATTACTACTGTGTACCTCCAGTCTGTGGAGCTGTAGCCAGGACTGATGACTGCTGTCCTGAATGCCATACATCAAGACATGCACTGTGAAAGACAATGCGTTTATTTGTAAAATGCTGTTTGTGTATATACTACATTCTATTCTCATACCCCTACTCATGCTCATACAGTGTTACACACTACGGTGCAGAACACTCACATAAAGGAATGTAAAATGTGGAACTAGTAATGAATTACCTGGTATTACCCTAGGCATACATGTGCATTGCCTTCGTGTCTCATATTCATACAGTGTTACACACTACGGTGAAATGTAAAATGTGGAACTAGTAATGAATTCCCTGGTATTACCCAAGGCATACACGTGCATTGCCTTCGTGTCTCATATTCACACACCATTATCCCGCGCAAATGCATCGCTGCGCGCGCGCATGAGCGGCCCCCCCGGCCCGCTGCATGCGCTGCACACGCGACGGCCGGGGCGCGGCGGCGGGCATTGCTTACGATTACGTCATAGCGAACCGGCCAAGATCGCTCTTGCGCGTTTGCCCCCCCCAAAGCCACCGCCCGTATATAACCCGCGTCATTACCAGGGCAGCAAGTGCAGAACGTCCTACAACCCCTGGGATCGGATTCTCTCCATTTTGAAGGTACATATACGTTGTGCAGTGTAGCCTACCTAGGTGTATTCCCTGTGTAGTTTGCACCCCAGCTAGCTATATATACTGCTGGTCTTCACTCCATGTGTAACTAGCATATTGGCCGAAATAAGATAGAGTGAGCGACACCAATCGGGTTTACATAACAGCCCAGGCTCGTTAAACACGTACGAAAACACTGTCGCATTAGCGGATCAGCCAATTCTTTCGGGACTTCCATCTCTTTAGTGTGCAGTGCAACGTATAATTATACCTACTTGTGTAATGTCGTTGATGCGTCTATGGCTGTAGCTAGCTATAGTCGTAACCCAAGGGCACCGCAGTTTGGCACTCCTGGTCAAGTGCATCTTTTTTATGCGCAAAAAAGTGGGTGATGCCCGTCGTTTTAAAAATGGGGGCAGCATGCATTAGCTAAGAGAAAAGGGTTAGCCCGGTATCAACGTTTTATCCTCGTATTAGCTACGTAGCCATGCGGGCATGTTGGAGCTCGCCCACAGCGGCGCGTACGACAGAGCGTAGAGCCGGATGCCATGGTTCACCATTTGTCGCAGCTAGGTTTCGCGAAAAAACACTGTTAGTTATGGCAGGACAACGCTTTTTCAACGAGTGCATGCACCCTACCACTGTTTTGGTCTTTGTTGCATGAGTAGCTACCCTCAACGCGCGACGGTTGTGTGTCTGTTACAACGTTTACGCGCGATGGTTGTGTGACGTTTACGCGCGACGGTTGTTCGCGCAAAACGAGCCAGTGATACCCTCGGCGCGCATGCGCAGCGAGGGTTACGGTCTGTGTGTCTGTCTGTCTACAACTATTCTCGCACTACATGCTACGAGGCGGCTTATGAGCGATACCAACAGCTTTAGCGGTATATACAACATGGGCTAGAAAACTAAAATGGCGATTTTGCTGAAACGACTGAGCGACGAACTGGCACGGTCGCGGACAGCGCGAGCGTGCGTTGCAACACACATCAAAAAGCGGTGCTTTAATTTAACCCTAATCTCACCAGGAGGGCAGTGATACCGGTCTTGCGATCGACGCGTATGCTGGCTCACCTCGACCTGATCCGCTTGCTCTGTGTACCTTGGAGGCACAATAAACCACAGCGAAGGGTGTGTATCGACTCTCGCATCCTATCTACTACTGTAGCTAGCCTGTGTCAGACTCTCCTAGCGGAAGACCGCGAGTAAACGCCAATGGCCGGCCCAGCCCATCCATTTTTTAGAGGTACCGCGCATGCGCAGTTCGCACTTTAGTGCTTTTCTTTGGCAATTTTAAACACTGTTTAAAAGCAAGTGAACAAGCTAAAATTCAAATTTTACCACTTGCTTACTTCAGCTGCATTCCCCCTGTGTGCATACTGTTTGGGGGTTACAGAACATACAACGGATGGCATCTGTCGAGTCTCGCAATGCCTTCGTTAAATGCTATCTACCCATGTGTCAGACTCTCAGAAAGCTAGCGAGAGACCACGATTGTGTACCCCCAGTCCATCAGTTCTGATTTGTGCAATGCTTAGCTACACGCGTGCATTTCTAAGTGCACTGGGGGTTTGCACTTTAGTGCTTTTCATTGTATGAGCGCCTGAATTTTGGTCATTATTATTACTGGTGGACTATTTTCCCAGGCTGCTGTCATGAGCAGGCCGGGTGGTAACAGGCCTCACCAACGTGGAGGAGCCCACAACAGATATCCAGTTCCTCCCCACAACAGACATCGACAGGAAGGAAGGAATACACGACACCAAGGAGGAAACACTTCTCACAAAACTGGGTCTGGAGGAGCTACCTCAACATGTAGGTTCCTTAGAAAAGATGATGTAATGGAATTGGCAGCGGGCACTCCTGAAAAAGTTGTAGAAACGTTTGTTCAGAACAAAACTGGTCTCTTAAATGCTTTTAGCTATAGTGAATTCTGCAACAACCCTCGAATCCTCAAAGCATTGATCAAGATAATTTACTTATTGACCAAAAGCGAAGAGAATCATTTAGCCTCTATTGTCTTAAGTAAGATTTATAGCCCAGATGGTGAATATGCCCAGTTTTGCTTTAAGGTTGATCTACTTATTAAAAAGATGCCAAGAGAGGAGAATATGTCAGAAAATATAAATTATCTCCATTATCTCATTGATATTGGGCTCTTTGGCATCCATAGAATTCCAACAATTATACTTGAAACCTTCCCCCAAGCTACAATTTCTGGCACAATTAAAGCACTCGATCCTAG